TTTAAAAGATACACATGTGATGTACAAAACTTCCCAGATTTCACCCAACTACTCCCCCCCACAGTGTTTTCGTGTGTTTTTATTAGTGTTAACACCAGTTCACAACTTCTAATCATTTTATCTCAATAAAAGATTCTGACTCTTAGCAGCCTGAATTGTTTTGTGAATAAGAAATAAGTAGAAACTTAAATTAATTACTGAAAAAATAACACTAAAACAGTCCATAAAGACTTTTTTTTTTTGCTTTTTTGGGCCTTTACTATGTTAACCAGCACATATTTAAATGACGGCAAATGGAGGGAAAGGATGGATATCTAACTCTGCCCACATCCAAGTCAGCCATTTTGATTAGGTCACCGATAGGAAGATCCCAGGCAAGAAAATCCTAATTACTTCATGGCAATATAGACATTAATTTAAAAATAGTGAAATGAATCATGCAAACACTGAATTAAACTCTATACATAATATTATGTTAAATAGTGGATGTTAAATAGGTTTGTACAATAAGTCCAAACAATATTTAGTAACAAAAATAATTTCCCTCTGGGATTATTTAAGTATTTTTGATTCTGATTCTGATTTTTGGTCTGTGAACATCTTGGGATACACAAGAGGAGCTGGGAGAGGAATGGATTTATTTTCTGAGTAAAGAAAGAATAAATAGATTTGTTTTGGGATTTAATAAAAAAGTTTTATGCTAATGTGAAGTATTCCCCCTTTCACCCACTTTTAATACCTGGACCCTGGATAGTTTTGAAGCAAATCCATCAAGAAAACATTCACGTAAATGCTAGTTAAGGTGTTAAGTTCCACTTAAGGTGTGGATAATCAGAGAAATAAGACATATCCTGAGAGGATCTTTATTTTAAAACAGGCTGAAAACAGAAACTAAATCTTTAGCTGTGAAAAGAACGGGGGAGTGGAGTTATGTGAGTTTAAACTGGGCCTCCGCTCCATAGAAATGTTTGTGTTGGAATACTGTCTTTTTTTTTCAGTCTGTCTGCACAGCTTATTTTTCTGTTTTCTCCATTTTTCCTGTTGGAAGCTGAACAGATATTAGTTTCAGTACCGGGTCCT